ATAACATCAGGCTTAAGGCACTTCCTGAAACTCTGGTAAATGGTGGGCCCACCTAACAGAGTTATAACCAATAATGGAGATTCTACCAAAACACCTGGTGAGCTACAGAATATGCTACTAAGAAAAACCAGAACCAATCATGGATTAGTGATGGTTTACAACCTGTGACAACGAAACCTATGCCCATTTCCCAACAGTGATGACCGCACTGCAGCCCTTCCAGAAACCAACCTCAAGAGGGATGCCTGGGAGCTGCTGGTCCAGGGCCTGGGCCTTGGACAGTGCAGGGGCCTCACGGAAGGCCAGGAGCCCAGAACCAACAGCAGCTCAGGGGTTGGGGGCGGGGGGGGGGGGGCAGCAGCAGGTCAGGATTATCAAGAGTCAGTCCACTGACCACATCTGACCAAAATGTTTCTGAAGAGTTTTCTACTTCTCAAAATGACCATTTTGATACAAAAAATCACAGCTAGCTTTCTGATAAATATATTTCTTCATCGTGCATCAGCTATCTTTAAAAAATGAAACTGACCTCCAGAGAGAGCTACTGGATGGCTGGTTACATGGAAAGGGGAGACTTTTTACCAGAGCCTTTTAGACCTGTGGAAATCTCCCACAGTGAACATGCATTACCTGCCAAAAAGATTTAAAAACCGATTTTCATCAAACTAACTTAACAAATCTGTATTTTGAGAAAAGTCTTTATTTTTCCATTAAAGTTTACTCTGTAAAAGTAAGGAGACAAAAAGTTCTTTTAGCCTGGTTTTTTAAAGTCAGGCCACTTTTAATTACTTTACTCATCAGAGTAACCCATGTACATCCCAACACTACTGATATATATAAATTAAAAACTTAAGGGCTCCACGCTGAGTATGGAGCCTACTTTAGAAAAACAAAAGAAAAGAAAAATTTAAAGGTGGGGTAAATTGTATGGCACATGAATTATATCTTAAAGCCACTGAAGAAACTTTTTAAGGTAAAATATCCCTCCCTAACACCCAGAGGTATCTTCCTCTTAGCTTTATAAAGCAACATTCCACCGTGTGATAGCACAATTTATACAACCAGTTCTCCATTAATAGTTTCATTACAGCCTCTTCTCCCTTTAAAAAAAAAAATTTGCAACGAGCATCTTTTCTGTGTACTCATCTGCACATATCCCTAAGATATGTTCCCAACAGCGGAGTTCTGGAACGAGTACGTATATGCATTTCACATGCTGACTATGCCCTGACAGACTGCCCTCCTTCAAATATGGCTACTCCAAAATGCCCTTCATTCTTCAGGGCAGAAGGACCTCTTCCACTGGTTATCAAATATTTTAATATGAACTATCTATAAGATCAACAATTATTTTTAAGGAGTTGGGGGGAAGGGTGGTTACCTTTTTAACTGAAAAAGTAATTCCTCCAGGTGGTATATTTTCACATAGTACACAAAGGTCTCTTGCCCTGCTCTAACCCTCAAACCAAGTTAAAAGTGGTTGTAATCTCTTGGGTTCCTCTAAAACACCTCTCTGCACATCTGAACATGTTAACAAGTGTACAACACCCTTATTAAAAAAAAAACAAAAAAACCCACACACTATGGAGGGGTACCCGGCTGGCTGAGTGGTAGAGCATGCAACTCTTGATCTCGGAGTGATGAATTTAATAAGCCCCATGCTGGGCACACTGCTCACTTAAAAGCAAGTAAGTTAAAATAAGGATGTATGCAATTTAAAAAACAAGACACGGGGCGCCCGGGTGAGCATCCAATCCTGGTTTCAGCTCAGGTCTTGATCTCAGGGTCATGGGATCGAGCCCCATGCAGGGCTCCGCGCTCAGAGGGGAGTCGGCTTCTTTCCTCTCCCTCTGCCCCTCCCACTTGCACATGCACCCTCACACGAGTGCCCACTCCCTAAAAATAAATCCTAAAAAAAAAACAAAAAACCACCAACATCTTAAAAAAACAAACACTATGGGGACGAGCCTGGGTGGCTCTGTGACTCCTGATTTCGGCTCAGGTAATGATTTCAGGGCTTTGTGAGATCCAGCCCTGCCTCTGGCTCTGCTCAGCGCGAAGCTTGCTTATCCCTCTCCTTCTGCCCCTAAGCCCACTCCTGCGTGCGGCGTTCTCTCAAGTAAGATCTCCTAAAAAATTAAGTTAAATTAACAAACACTAGGGAAACATGATATCACACTTTGCTTATCCACTTAATCTGCCTTGCAGGTAATTTCACATCAACAATACAGTGAACTGGCCCAATTCTCTTTCACAGTTACACATCATTCCATCCTAAAGAGCAACTATGATTTAGGCAGTCCCTTACTGAGGAAGCTTATTTGGTTCCTGTTTTCTGCAGTTATAAATGCTGAAGGAATATTCTAGAACAAATGTATCTTTGTACATATGCAAGCGTATCAGTGAGATATAATCTTAGAACTGGCCATGCTGGTATGTGTTTTCACATCTTGAGATGTTGAGTTACCCAGGAGGAGTAGCAGGATCGTTTAATCCCCCATTTCTTCAGTTTTGAGTGACGGTGAGCACCAGCCATAGGATTAGATGCCCACCAGGCAATGCCCTTTTCTATCCTTTGCCCATTTTTTTATTGAGCCATTGATGCCATCTATGTCCCTTATGATAAATTTTACATATAAAGGTAACTAGCTCATCATCATGAACACTGTAAATACCCTGTCCCAGTTTATTCTCATCGTACGTATGGGAACTTTTTTTTCAGTCATTTTCACAACCAACGTAGGGCTTAAACTCACAACCCCAAGATCAAGAGTCACATGCTCTTCAGACTGAGCCACCAGGCGTCCCATGTACAGGTACTGTTGACAGGCTAAATTTTAAGTTTTTATACAGACAAATGTACCCATCTTTCTCTCATAGCTTCTAGACTTTATAGCATCAAGATGACAAAACAAAATTCATTTCCTGGGGCTCCAACTGGGTATTTTCCTACTGGCTAAAGCATAGTTTTCAATAATATTCATTAAAAACAAAAAAACAACAACAAAAAAACACACCCCACTTTCTGCACACTGGCTGAACACACCTCCTTCAAAATATACTAAATGACTGTGTGTGTTTCAGTCACTGACACCATTTCTTCTATGAATGTTTTCTAACTTTAAATTCATCAGTCATTTAAAAAAATGCACTGACCGGACGCCTGAGTGGCTCAGTTAAGTGGCTGCCTTTGGCTCGGGTCATGATCCCAGGGTCCTGGGACTGAGTCCTGCATTGGGCTCCTTGCTACACGGGGAGCCTGCTGCTCCCCCTGCCTGTGCTTGCTCTCTGTCTCTCTCTCCCCCTCTGACAAATAAAATCTTAAAAAATAAAAAATGCACTGATATTCTGATTTAGTAGAAATGCTAAGACTTCTGATCCAGAAAACATTACTAAACCTGAGATTTCAATACACCTGTGTACATGTCAGTCTCTGAAACCTGACGTCCCAAAGTAATGGCCTCTTTGCATAAGCATCTGCACGTTACTGAAGAATTAAAACTCACAATATAGAAAAATTCCCTTTCCAAGCCTCTTCTGTTAGTCAAACTGTTGCTAAAGGCATTTTTAGTTAATTCAAAGATTCAACACTGAGAACACACTGTGGTTAAAGAATGAATCTGAAAAAGAATCCACTTTAATCGCTTTTAAGACTACTGATTTAAAAACAGTTTACTACGGCTACAACACATCCTTTAAAATGTCCTTTGATTAAAAAATAAATAAATAAATAAAATAAAACAAAATAAAATGTCCTCTGGTGAGGAGGAGATGCCTTTCCTTGGCTTCCTCACACCGAGCTCTGTCCCTTCCCAGTCTTTACTTAGGAACCTGAATGCCACCAAACCTCTTCACTGACCTTTGATCATACTAGTGATGGAGGATTAGGGAAAAGAAAAAACAAATAGAGAGACCCTGTACTCTCAATGGGGAAAGAGGTGAAAACTGCTGTTAAAGGGTGAAAAAAAAAACCTTAGATATCAACAGTTTGTGACCTGGAAAACCATAGCACATTAAGGTAATATGCAGGGTTCTGTGGTAACAAAATTTCATAGAAGGGTAGGGGACGAATCAGGAAGAAAATTCTTTAAAGGGTTCTTTTGGGAGGCAACAATTTAAAAAAAAGTTGTGAAATTCCATTTTATAACCACTGAATTGCAAAAATTCTACTTTGGGGTATAAATTGATACCACGGCTTTATCAACAACAGAAACCAGAGAGAAAAAGGACACCATTACAAAACTATCTTGCAAGGATGAACATATGCAATCCCTGTAAGCCAGCAAGTCCTCCCCCTCGGAATAGACCCTAAATAAATCTAATACGCGTACACCAAGAACATATTCAAGAACATTCATAATACTGTTTGTAACAGCAAAACAAAACAAAACCAAAAAACCCCCACAACCTAGAATCAACCCAAATAATGACTAGAGAGTTTGTGGAATACTCAAGCAGCAATGAGAATAAACCATACCCAACAAAATGGGTAAACAAAAATATAATATTGAATGAAAACCGTTATTCAAGACTGTGCTATGAAACTATTCTTCTAAGGCTTAAAAACAAGCAAAAATAAAAAGTTCAAGGAATCATAAAAATATGTAATAACACTTTTAAAAGGAAATGAGACATGGGATGCCTGGGTGGCTCAGTCGGTTAAGCGGCTGCCTTTGGCTCAGGTCATGATCCCAGGGTCCTGGGATCGAGTCCCACATCTGCCTCTGCCTCTCTATGTCTCTCATAAATAAATAAATAAATAATCTTAAAAAAAAAAGAAGGGAAATGAAACATACAAAATGCACAATAGTGTTGGGGTGGTAGACTTACAGGTACATACCACATGTTACTGGCTATGTTCTAGCTCTCAGCCCTAGTGGTGGAATAACAAGTTCTCTCTTTTGTTATTCTGCTTCATAACTTACAAATGTTACATTATTCTTGTTAGTTGATATTTGGCTCTTCACAGTAGGGACAGATTAACACAAAATAAAACTTACATCTAATTCAAAAAACAGGTCCCTTTCTTTACTTGCAATCTCATAATCTGCTCGGAGGGCCAAGTCGTGGATTTTGGTACATTCTCCTAAATCCATGCGCTGTGAGAAAGAAACAAAAGTTTACACATGAACATTTACCCACTGTAGAAAGCACATGACCTGGTGTTCCAACTGTCAACAAAATAAATACCTTTTTGAATAGTAAACTGTAATAAAAATATTAAGAAAGAGCATATAGCCAAAAACCCTTATTTTTCTTTTACTACCAAGTTAATACGACATTTTGATACATTTAAGTGTGAAGGTTTGTCTCTTTCAGACCCAGAGATAACTGGACTAATAATGAAAACCATATTATTTAGCTTTTGCTAGTTTTATTTTTGCATCAGTCAAAAAAGAAAAGTCTATTCAGTAAGGCACCTGGGTAGATCAGTCAGCTGACTGTCCAACTCTTGATTTCTGCTCAGGTCATGATCTCAGGGTTGTGGGATAGAGCCCCATGGCAGGCTCCACACTCAGCGGGAAGCCAGCCTGGGATTCTCTCTCCCTTTCCCTCTGCCCCTACTCCCCATTCAAGCTCTAAGTAAGTAAAAAAAAAAAAAAAATCAAAAAAAAAAAAAAAAAAAGGAGAAACATCTACTCAGTGAACAGCAGCATGGGGGAGGGGAGAGGTTGCAAGGAAAAGGCCAGAAAACAAGAGTATCATCAACAGCAACAAATTTCTAGGCATTCCTTCCTGCAACCTTCACTAGTCAGGATGCTCAAATGCCTAAGGTGCAGGGGCAAGGAAAAGGAAAAGAGCAGATAGCAATCAGGTTTTGGCAATTACAACACAACCTAACACCACTTGGCTTCGTGCATCTCTTTGTATACCAGAAGGCATAAAGCAGAATAGGCCACTTTAGAGCCAAAAAAAAAAAAATCCTCCATTCTCCTAACCTAGTAAATGACCCTGGATGTAACTGGAGACCTAGAATCGGGCCACTCAGTTGCCCCATTTGAGAAACAAAAGGTTGTTTCACGAAAACAAATGACCTGTGTCACCAGTAAGATTAGCCTGATGTGCTACTATGTGTTTGTAAGCACATGTAGAACAATTAGACAACAGAGCACATGTCTTAACTAAATTCTGAGTGCAGGATTCTGTGACAGCACCCTCCACCTCTGGCCATCAAGAGAGCAAAAGGAAAGTCTGTATGCTAAGGATCATGCTATCAAGTCATACAGTGCAAGTTAACAAAACCCAGCATCACAATGAGGAGACACCAAGTCCAAGCACTTGGACCAAAACATGTGTCTACCTAACTAGTAAACAGAGAATGATGGAGTCCAGGGCCTCCTTTAAGCTCAAACGACAACTACATCCAAAATGAGTTCAAAAACTTCATGGATTATAAAGTCCTTAACATTTTAGGCAAATTAGGGAGGCTGGTAGTAACCTGACTCTTGGGCCCTAGTCTCACAGAAGGCGCATGCCACGTTCACTACCAAAACATCCTTTAGTAAAAACAGTGACAGAACCAACAGTGGGCTCCTTAGTGTGGAGCTCATCTTCATTTTGATCAAGGATCAACTTCTGCATTTAAATGCTAAAGACCTCTTTTCTCCTTCATTATTCCTACTGTAAAGTCATATGAGTTCATGTATGTTGGTTACATGGGGGGATCCAGAGGTAGGGCAACCGTAATTCTGTATGCCAAAGTTGTAGCCAGAACCGCTGTCCCTATATTGCTGACAACTTTTGCTTCGTTCACTCTTTTAAGTATCAGTATGATTCTTTAAAATATACAGTCTCCACAAATGAAAAGCAAGCACCATAGCTGCAAAATAACTGACAAACACCAGAAACGCTTAAAAGCTAATGAAAGCTCTGTATCTCAAAGAAGACCTACCACCAGGGGAAGTAAGCACTAAAACCTTAACTACTAAGCATTTTAAATACAAATAAATTTCCATTCTAGAAACTTCACTGTCAAGAAACTTTTGACATTAGTGAACCATCCATGAAGCAAAAATTCACTGCTAGCCTTCCTTTGGGTGAGAACTCTCAAGCAGCCACGGCTAATGCCAAGCAGAGGACAGGGCTGGGTTCCATGGTTACTCTCCGACTGTATATTTTCAGTTTTGCCAAGGAGGTAGGGAAGTACTGGCCAATTCCCCTGGCAGCTAATACCACACAGAGTTGAAATACTACAGTAAGTCCTCTTCCAAAAGATTTTAAGTGGCTGTTAAATCCAGTGTCAGATCTTTTTTTACCAAACAAACCCCTGTGTTCTCTACCCTCTAGTGGTCTCACACTGCTGACAGGGAAGGGTACTAAAGGCTCCTTCCAGAAGGTTTGGAAAACAAAAGTGTTTCCACGAAGACAAGTGTAACTTGTTACACTACATTCCCTCCAGCTATCTTACTCTCCCAAACTAACCAATACTGTATTTTCCCATGAAGCCTCAATAAAACTGTAACTTCCATTCCTCCTTGCCTCACCCCTACCAATGACAGGAGATGGTTTTGAGCAACAGCTTGGGCCTGGAGCAATCCTTAGAAGACTGAAGGTTACAACCTTCATTTAGCCACTTTGCTTTAAAAATTTAATCACATTCATTCCATTTCAATTTTACACAAAACACAAACTCATCAGAAGACCCATCATTCAACTCCACTCCTCACTTCCCACTTCCACGGAGCCCAAACCAGTGAGGCTCACCTTTTACAACCACCCCCATCCAATTTCCTAACCCTCATCCTAATCGACCCTCAGCAGCCCCTGACAAGTTCACTTGCATCTTCACAGGTATATGGACTGTCCTGGGTTTCCTCCTCCTTAGTCGGCTTCTTAGATTCCCCTTGCCGAGCCATCCCTGGCCAACCTGCTCAGTCCATGGCTTCTCACAACTCATCTGATTCCACAGCTTCTGCCTGCCTCTCCTACCTCTCCCCTTCACTCTCACCACTCCAGACAAGCCAGCAGCATGCCTGCTGTCTCCCAGCTCTATCTTTCACCCAGGGCATTCTAACCCCAAACTGTGCACATTCTTTCTCACCATTCAAGTCTCTGCTCCAATGTCCCTGAGAAACCCTTTATCAGGGGCGCCTGGGTGGCTCAGTCGGTTAAGTGGCTGCCTTCGGCTCAGGTCATGATCCCGGGGTCCTGGGATCGAGCCCCGCATCAGGCTCCCTGCTCCGTGGGAAGCCTGCTTCTCCCTCTCCCACTCCCCCTGCTTATGTTCCTTCTCTGGCTGTGTCTCTCTGTCACATAAATAAATAAAATCTTAAAAAAAAAAAAAAAAGAAACCCTTTATCACTCTGCCTAAAACAACCCGTTATCTATTCATTTATTGTCTATCCTCTTCCTCCACTGGATAAAGTAAAGACTTTATCTTCCTGGCACCATATCCCCAGTGCCTGGCACACAGCAGGTGTTCAATAAATATTTGATGAGTTAATTTGTAACTAACACAATAAATATTTGTAGGAAATGCCCCCATTCTGGTTATTTTTCTCACCCGCATTCTGGAACAATGCTACCCAGGGATCTGACACCCCACCCCCCGGCCCTCCCTCAAAAAACTGAAATGCTTCACACTCGTGCACTTCCCTCCCTCTGCTCCTTGGCTTCTCCCACTAAGATCCATCAACAATTCCAGGTTATGATGCCTCCCCTACAGGATTTTCCTTCAGCAGAACTGCTTTTAACTAGCGGAAGCCATTAAACTACATTGACGGTACCCACAACAATCCACAGCAAAACATATCCCTATTCCAGGTCAAACTACAGGCAAAACTTCAGGTAACAAAAGGTACGGTGTTTGACATTCATTTCCTATTTGCCCTCTGTAGAATCAGCCTGAGAAGATCTAATACATATGTGCAGTTTTCCACAGGCTGCTCCCCTCACAATGGTAATGAGAAAAGCAACAATTAATCATGAAGAAAATGTTCCCTAGTGGATGCACATTTGACCCTTAAAATGAGCAGACGCTTTTATATTCCATGAAGTGGCTGCGTAATCTGAAAATGGTGTAATGGTGGTGGTATTTACAGGACTCCTTTTCTCTATGTGGCTGAATCATGGTAGATAATTCTCCAGCCTTTAGTCTTCTTCAATCCTATCTGATTTTGTTTTTGTTTTTTTCAGATTTTATTTATTTATTTTGACAGAGAGAGACACAGCGAGAGAGGAAACACAAGCAGGGGGAGCGGGACAGGGAGAAGCAGGCTCCCCGCGGAGCAGGAAGCCCCATCTGGGGCTTGATCCCAGGACCCTGGAATCATGACCCAAGCCGAAGGCAGACGCTTAACGACTGAGCCACCCAGGCGCCCCAATCCTATCTGATTTTGAATAAACGTACATTACATAAAACTAGCATTTATCTATTTGATTCTTCTAAAGTGAACATAAAATTTTAGGGATCGATACTCATTGGATCATGTGTTGATTTCTCGAAAGGGTAAAACTCAGTGTTATACCCAACTGATCTATTAAAAACCTGAGAATTGGGTAAGAAATGTGTCTTGTTAGGGCAACCCTCTCGGATCCCCTCCCTCCTCAGGAACTTTGTACTATCACTCGGCTATCACTCAATAAACCTTGCATTGCTGCCCACCAAAAAAAAAGTACCTCATTAGATCAAAAGTCTAGCACTAACATATGTTCGACATGAAAACTAACCCACCAATCCAGAATTTTCAAAGAACTATAGGCTGAACTGAAGCATACTTTTTTGGTTTGGCCAAATGAAACTTCTCATACTACTTAGCTGTGAATATTATTCCTCCATCTAAACGATTCTACAAAAATATGGTAAGTTACAAAAAGAAATTTTTATAGCAGTGAAGTATACCCCGTAACAAAATTCCACCAAACTAACAATCTATCATTTGAAAGGCAGTAGGTGATTTCTGCCTGGTAAAGAAAAACAGAATTCAACCTTCCCTGCCTACACAGCTCCCAAGTCTGAGTGTTCTTTGATAGTCCCCCAACCCCGAATACACCTACCGTCCCAGCCAGGATATCATGAGGGCAGCAGTCCAGAAGGTGACTCTTGCAGACACGGTCATCTGTAAACTTGACCCTCTGTCTGGTTTCGTCTCCTGAAATTCATTTGTGGTTTTAAATAAGACAATATTATCACGTTAAACACCAAAGCATATCTGGTACGACAATTCACCTGGATGATTGGCAGACTACCAAATACAATGAAAAGCTGATCTAGAGATATTTACAACTGGAGCGGAATACGGATGTTTTTTGATGCTAAATGTATTATGAAGAATCACACTTAATGAGATCTGACTCCATCATTGTGCCAAAGAAGTCAAGGAATCTGAAGAGGCTGAGCACCAAAAGGCCATTAACCCCACACATATATGTGGGCAGTAATACCAAAACCCACGCTAATCAGAGGGCCATGAAATCACCACGTATGACTTATAGCTGGTAGTTTCCACCAACAGAAGCTACATATTAATCTAATCATTTTGCTATGGACAAATGCATAGGCAGTATTTTGCCCAAAATCACATGAAGAAGAAAGCTTTCAAACTCTACCACTGACTGATAAATAATCTAGACCTAATCTTCCTATCCCCTTCACCCCCACCCTTAAAAAAGAAAGTTGGCACCTGGGAGTCACTTTTAACAAGACAATACCAAAGGAGAAAAAAAAAGGGGGGGAACTAGGTTAGTCAATACACACTGTGAGTTCCAACACATACTGTACCCATCTGCATTCTTCAAGACCTCAGCTGCAGAATTTTATGCCCGCTGTTGAAAAGTTTTAAAGGAAAAGTTTTCTTGCCCAACCTGCAGTAAGGAAGTCAGGGGAATGATACATAAAAGTAAAGGCAAAGTGGAATGTGACAAATTTTAAAGCTAATCTGTGTATACACAGAGCTGTGTAATACTAAAGGAGGAATATATTTTAGGATTTGCAAGCATCCAGGATTAATGTTGTGTCTTTTTATTGAAAATGTTTTCTTTCTAAACTACACTTTTAAAGTTATTTGTGAAAAAAAGCAAACACTTTTTTGTTATAACAGCTTAGAAATTGGTTGTGACTCACGGCTCGATGAACATGAGGCTTTTCTGCAACTCCCTTGCAGATTGATGTAGGCAGGCAAAGATACACTGAACCTTTATAAATAAAATAGAGGGGCCACAATTGTTCAGTTTGTATGAAATAAAAATATGGGAAGCAATTCAAAAGCAACTCAATATACAAAAGCACTTATTCACCTATGAAATAAAGTGCAAAGAATCTGCACAGCCCTGCGAATGTGCCAATGTGAACTTACAACTTCATTACTTCAGTAGAAAAGAAAACACAAACCACAGCAGGTATATAGTTTTGCAAAGGTGCAACCGCTTTCTCCTGAGACAACCATCATGATGATCTTTCACTCCTCCCTACAACCGTCATTGTACGACCTACCTAACGACTGCCAAGTGCTAGCTAAACAGAGGCTCTCCTGTGTGGCTGGGAGGGGAAGGGGGCTGGAAAGGCACTCGGCAGGAACCCACGTTAGAAAAGCTCAATTTACGGCTGCTCTTGGTGCAGAACAGGAACGGCCGGGGTTTCCGGGCCCATCCGGCTCCCTCGGGTTGTAGGTAGCTCCTTTCCCGAGGAGCCTCGGAGGAGCTCCGCCACCCGGCTGCCAGCGATGTGGAGCCCACGCTGGCGCCAGCCTTTCGCCGACTCCCCGGCTCCCCGAGCGGCTCCGGGCCGCGGGACGGGGAGAAAGTCGCAGGACGGCAAAGGGGGAAGGGGCTAAAGCCCCACCGACGACTCGGGCTCCGAGGGAGGAGCCCGCCAGGGACCCACCGCCAGCGAGGGAGAACCCGGCCGCGGCCGCTCCCAAGGCGAACCGGCTCAGACAAAGGCCCGGCGCCTGCGGTCGGCGCGCGGGGGAGGGGAGGGTGTCCGGCGCAGGCGCAGGCGCAGACGGTCGCGGCCCCCGCCTCAGGCCGCCCGGCGGCCTCGCCTCACTCCCGCCCCAACCCCTCGCCTGTCCGGCCGCTCCGACTCACCGTCCCGGGCCGTGCCCATGAGCTGGTCCAACAGGGCCCGCATCTGCGCCTGGGCGGACATGGTGGCCGGCGAGGGCGGCAGGGACGGCCGCGGTGACTCCTCTCAGAGCGGTGGCGGCGGCGGCGGCGGCGGCGGTGGCGGCGGCGGCGGCGGCGGTGGCGACGACGAAGGCTGGTCGCGTCGGCCTCGAGCCCGCTCGGCTCCTTCCCGCCGCGGGGGACGCCGGGAGGAAGTGCGTCGGTGCGGGCCTTTGAGCCTGCTGGGAAATGTAGTTTCTGGGGCGGAATAGGGACCGAAACTCCGCCCTGGAGGAGACGGGCAGGAGTGGTCCAAGCGAGTTGTCCGAACGGCGGAGTCAGAAAAGTTCCAACCCTGAATTTATTCTAGAGCCCAAGACCCATATATTCTGGAGACTAAACTGCAACAAAATAAAATAAGTAGGGGCGCCTGGGTGGCTCAGTTGGTGAAGCATCTCCCTTCGCCTCAGGTCATGATCCCAGGGTCCCGGGATCGAGCTCCGCATTTGGGCTACCCATTCAACCGGGAGTCAGCTTCTCCCTCTGCCCCTCCCCTCACTCGTGTGCTCTCTCTGTCTCTCTCGCAAAAATAAATAAAATCTTTTAAAGAAAGATTCTCCCTCTCCCTTTGCGCGTGCTCTCAAAAAAAAAAAAGTATCTGGTCTGTTCTCCCCAAAGTGACTTACAGATTAAATCCAATTCTCTTAAAAACAGGTATGGGTCTGGGGGCGCCTGGGTGGCTCAGTCCTTAAGCGTCTGCCTTCGGCTCAGGTCATGATCCCAGGGTCCTGGGATCGGCCCCAAATCGGGCTCCCTGCTCAGCAGGAGGCCTGCTTCTCCCTCTCCCACTCCCCCGGCTGTGTTCCCTCGTTCTCTGTCAAATAAATAAAATCTTTAAAACAAATCAATAAAAATAAAAAATAAAAACCCCTATGGGTTTGTTTTGGTGAAACTTGATCTGGTTGTAAAATTTTACTGAAGAGGGCGCCTGGGTGGCTCAGATGGTTAAGCATCTGCCTTTGGCTCAGGTCATGATCCCAGGGTCCTGGGATCGAGTCCCATGTCGGGCTCCCTGCTCCTTGGGAGCCTGCCTCTCCCTCTGCTTCTCTCTCTCTCTCTCTCCTCCTCTGTCTCTCATGAATAAATAAATAAAATCTTTAAAAAAAAATAAAATTTTACTGAAGAATAAATGGCTAACGCTTTTCAACATAACAAAAAGGTGGAGGTAGCTGTCCAACTAAATATCACAGAGTTATTTTAAGGATATTGTAATTGAGACTGTGTGGTACCAGCACAAAAATGGAGAGCAATGAAACAATGACAGAGAATAAAGATGCCAGAGAGAAGCTGTAGGGAAATCCCCTCAATTTCCCAGTGCTCTTGTAAAAAGCCTTCCTCTTAGCCCCTTCACCTACTATGAGGATTAGATCTGCAGCCATTTATTTGTCCAGTTAATTGCTCTGGTCCGGAAGTATAACTTCCCTTTTCTCTCTAAGAGGGCCAAGTAGTTATAGACTTGGATTAGGTGCCTAGGTATTGGGGAGAATAGAGTGTTCTCTTCCCACGTATTTACACTTCAGGGAGTGAGGCCCAGGAATTTGGAGACATCGCTAGGTCCTAAAAGTGTAGCCAAGAGACACTGGGGCAGTCTGGCCCCAGGAGAAACTCATTAACATACCAAAGGACTGGAGTGGGGAGACCCTTTGAAGAGGGGAGAAGGACAGCTGCCTCTTCCCCTTTATAAGTAGAGAAAAGTCCCTTTTCTTCATTCCTCACATATGTTCTGTTGGGCCACTCACGTCGGAAAAATTTCCATTGGTTCTCTCTGTTTCCCTGGGGGGTAAAGGCTGTGGGGGACTCATCATGCTTAGTATAACTAGGGAGTCGTCAGTAAGATATCTGATCTGATCCAGGACACCCGGTGTGAGCATTATGATAAAGCCAATTAATAAAGACACTCGTGCATATCCAGATTTTTTTAAGTGTGGCAGGTGCCCTTAGGGAAAAGACACTACCTCAATAAATGGCACTAGCACTGCAGGTTTTCCCCCTGATGAAGAAAAGCACGTAGCCTCCTTACACCGCCCTAAATCTATTCCAAACCCAATTAAAAACAATGTTAAAATGGAAACTTTAAAACCATTGGGGAAAATGTGGGAGACTTATTAGGGGTAGAGAAGGATTCCTCAAACAGGGCACAAAAGCACTACCCGTAAAAGGCTGATTTATTTTTCTATACTAAAACGGAGACTTGCGTTCGTCAAAGGCACCCCGAACGGCAATATTTACCGCACACACCACGGGTAAAGACGGTACCCTGAGCAGAGCGCAACGCAACAAGCGGAGAGAGGCAAACCACGCCACAGAAAGACCGACCCGCGGCCAGAAGCCGGCGCTGGAGGGGAAAGGCCACGGCCAGCAAACCGCGTGGAAGGGTACGCCAGCCCGGGGAAGCGCAATAAAGCCGCATGAGGTGCCACCTCAAAGGGCCGCGGCGCCAGACCCCCACGCGAGCCGGCGCGGCGCGCGACCCCAGACCCGCCTCCTCCGCCGGGGCCGCCACCCCGCCAGCCGCACTGCTCAGCAACCACCTCCCGCCTCGAGGACCCCTGCCCCGACGGCGCGCTTCCGCCTCGGCTCCCGCCGGCCGGAAGTGACGCTCGGGAACGGGGCCGAGGAGCGCGGCGGCGACCGGAGAGTGAGCGCGGCCTCGTCCTCCTCGCGCGTGCTCGCGGCGGGGCTCGCGCGGGGCCCCACCTCTTCGCTCGCGATCGCTCCTCTCCGCCTGGGCGATCCGGCCGCGGGGAGACTGCCAGCCAGCGAGACCCCGCCCACAGTGTCGCCCGCCTCGCCCAGCGGCGGGTCCACGCGTGTCCGTGCAGCGGTGTGGGCGGACAGGCTGCTGCAGCGGCCGCGACCAGCCCGCTCCGCCGGCCCTCCAGCCCCAGCGGGTCGGCAGGTGCGATTCCTGGTGGCGGTCTGCGCCAGCCCCAGCTGCCCCAAAGACCGGATTTACTCCGGGGAGGAAACTTCCTGCCCCACGTCGGCGGCACAGTAGGTAAGCCAGTCTCTACTCTCGGTGCTCTTGAGGGTGCTGCACCGCTTGCCCGCCGGCGATGTAAAATGTAGGACCACGGAAGCCCATGTGCAGAGACGGCCTCCGTCCTCTCGTCTGTGGTCCGGACAGTGAACTCGCAAAGTACCCCAAAGGTCAGCTGACGTTTACTCGTGTATGGGGGACATCGCTCGTACAGACGTAGCCTGCCTCACTGAACAAGACAGGCAGACTTCGAAAGGGAAAAAGACAAGGTCGCTCTCAGAGAGTTCCTTGCTCCCCTACAAATTGATTGGCAGTGATCTGAGAGCCTGACCTTGAGCAGCCCAAGCTATCAGAGGAGGCAACTGCAGTTACTTTCGGGTTCTCTTTGGAAACCGTGGGATTTCAGCTAAGGAACTTGTGTGATAGGCAGGACTCCAGGTACCGGCTGGGAATGCCTTTCTGGTGCCGCCACCAGATTGCACCACCTCCTTGCAATTTCTCAGGGAGCAGCAAGTGTCTGCTGGGTGCCAGGCATGGTTCTAGGTGCTGAGACTGTAGCACTCAACAAAACAGGATTCCTGTCCTCAAGGAGCTCCATTTCTGTGGAAGGATACGGATAATAAGCAAAATACAGAGCATGCGGGGCTCACCTGGGTGGCTCAGTCCATTCCGCATCTGCCTTGGGCTCAGGTCATGATCTCAGGGTCCTGGGATCGAGCCCCACATCAGGCTCCCTGCTCCGCGGGGAGCCTACTTCTCCCTCTCCTGCTCCCCCTGCTTGTGTTCTCTCTCTGTCAAATAAATAAATAAAATCTTTAAATATGTGTATATATAGAGAGAGAAAGAGCACGCTAAAGACAAAGTACAGAGCAAGGAAGGATGAGATGGAAATGGTCCAAGTATCAAGTGGACATTTATTTGCACATTTTACCAGCTCTCTGGACCTTGTTGCTTCTTGGAGTGCTTTTGGTTTCAAGTGTTGAGAATCCATTAAAACTAGCTCAGCCTATGGGGGGATTCTACAGGCTTTCATATGGGAAAGTTCAGAGGACCAAGAATAGGAGGGGCCAGTGGCTTAAATTAGATCATCAGGACTTGGTAATGGTGTGTGGGGGAGGTCTTGTTGGTCCCCCATCCTCTCACATACCTCCTCTTTGCCCTGTTTCTGTGTTGGCTTCTTTCTTAGGTTCCTGCCTCCATCCTACCTACTTATTTAGTTATTTGCTGCCACATAAAAGTCAACACAAAAATTAATGGATTGGAGCCCCTGGGTGGCTCAGTCGGTTAAGCCTCTGCCTTTGGCTCAGGTCATGATCCTGGGGTCGTGGGATCGAGTCCCGCATCGGGCACCTTGCTCAGCAGGAAGCCTGCCTCTCCCTCTGCTTGCCGCTCTCCCTTGCTTATGCTCTCTTTCTTGACAAATAAATAAAATCTTAAAAAAAAAAAAAAGTAATGGAGTAAAACATCCTACATTTATTATTTATTTGTTTGTTTTTTAGAGGTGGGAAGGGGCAAAGGGAGAGAGAGAGAGAGTCACAAGCAGGCTCTACACCCAGCATGGAGCCCAACACAGGGCTTGATCTCACAACCCTGAGATTATGACCTGAGGCGAAATCAAGCATCGGATGCTTAACCAACTGAGTCACCCAGGTGCCCCAAACATTTATTATCTCCATTTCTGTCCGTCAGGAATTCAGGAATAGTTTAGTGAGGTGATTGTGGTTCAGAGACTCATCCGGTTGCAACCAAATCATTGGCTGGAGCTGTGGTCATCTGAAGCCTGGACCAGGACTCTTGGGTCTGATTCTAGATGACCCACTCACATGGCCAAAGACTGGAAGCCTCAGTTCTTTGCTAACTGTTGGCAGGAGTCCTTATTTCCTTGCCTGATGGGCCTTTCCATAGGGCCCGCGTCCTCACGTGGTGGTGGTCTTCCCTCAGAGTCAGTGATCGGGGCGGGGGGGGGGGGGGGGGGGGGGGGGGCTTTGAGGTTTGTGGATGGAAGCCACAGTGCTTTATGTGGCCTAGCTCAGGAATTCTGATTCTGTGACTTCTGCCATATTCTATATGTCAGCATTATTAAGTACAAAAGACTTCACCTTTGAAGGGAGGCACATCAAAGAGTTTGTGAACATATTTTAAAACCACCGTTCCACTTATCACTCCTGTGGGAAAAGAGTGCCTGTTCCCTATAATTGCAGGTGAACTCTGGGCCTGATATTCATCTGGGCTCTAATCAGTTAGCTAGACCCGGGTAGGGAGCCCTCCCCAAAGTGGGGATGAGTCAGTCCCACCAGAACTACATTGAGCATGCGGGAAAGTAGATTTCCCCGAGGGAAATTAAGGTGCTGTTACTAGAAAGAATGGATGTCAGGTAGTCAAAGTGACCCCTACAAGTGACTTATACCATTATTTAAAATGAGGTTTTAAAAGTCAACTCCTTGGGCAAGCTGTAGATTTCAAAGCAATGGTTAATAAATCCATTAATAATTACCCTTCCAAGAAAAGAACATGAGCAGAGCAGAGCAACATTTGGATATTTATTCAGACATGTGAACGTGTTTATTTTATGCCAGGCACTATGCTTTGTCCTGGGAAAACAAAGGCGATAAAAACAAGTGTAGGTCCTCAGGCCCCTCGCGGTCTGGGGGTAGGTCTCACCAGTGGCTCAGTGAGGACTCAGCAGTGCGCGTGGGGAGGTCAGGTAGAGCGGGCTTTGAAGGCACATGGGGGTTACTAGAGGAAGAAGGGTAGAGGAACGGTGTGCACAGAAGATCAGCAGTGTGACTGGAGAACAGATCCTGGACGTAGGATTTGGAGAGAGGTAACACCAGAGGTGGTGGACTGAAGAGCTGTCCAAGCTTTGTTCTAAAGTCCTGAGGAGTCATTCAGGAGTTCAAAGCAGGGGAATGGCATTTTCAGGAGATACTTTAGAAGGATGTCTCTTGCAGCATCGAGGAAAGAAAGTTGGAGAGGGCTCCAGAAACCCAGGTGAGAAGTTGTCAGAACAGCACCTAAAGCAGTGGAACTGAATTGCAGACAGATATACGTTGGCATCCATCGGGTTTGTTGGATGTTTCAAAACCTACTCTAGGGCGCCTGGGTGGCTCAGTTGGTTAAGCGACTGCCTTCGGCTCAGGTCATGATCCTGGAGTCCCTGGATCGAGTCCCGCATCGGGCTCCCTGCTCGGCGGGGAGTCTGCTTCTCCCTCGGACCCTCCCCCCTCTCATGTGCGCTCTCTCTCTCTCATTCTCTCTCTCAAATAAATAAAAATCTTTAAAAAAAAAAAAGCTTTAAAAAAAACCCTACTCTAATCTCACTCAAAACTGGTCTTTATAAACTTAATGAATTTCGTTCACACTCTTCCTTTATAAAATTTATAATGGAGCTTAGCTTGTTTGGATGTGATGTCAAAAAAAAGGAAGGAGAAGGAGAGTGCTGATTCCTAAGTGAACACCGGCCGAGACAAGGCAGATCCAGCCACAGGCCTCTCAAGTGTACAGTTCAGAAAGATCGGAGGTGGGCTGTAGGGGACGAGCGCTCCATCCGCCATGTGTTGGTAACCGTTGGACCTGGCTGATGGGCACATGGGGCTGTGGGGTTCTACTCTTACAAATATGTTTTATTTTCTTATTGTTTTGGTGGGCAGCAAAGCAAGGTAAGCTCCCGAGGAGGGAGGGGATCCGAGAGGGTTGCCCTGCTCTTATGAATATTCAAACATTGACGTGACAAAAGGTTTTAAAAAAAATATAATGATAAAAAGTAAGTGAAGTTAAGACCTACTGGTCTTGCAGAGTTGGTCAGAAGTGATGGAGTAAGAGTTAGGCTTTATCTTTTTAAGGGCTTTTGCTTCCCCCCCCCCACACACACACCCTTCCCTTAGTGTAAAGACAAGAAGTGGGGCACCTGGGTGGCCCAGTCGTGGAGCATCCGCCTTCAGATCAGGTCATGATCCCGGGGTCCTGGGATCGAGCTCCCTGCTCAGTGGGAAGCCTGCTTCTCCCTCTCCCACTCCCCCTGCTTGTGTTCCTTCTCTCGCTGTGTCTCTCTCTGTCAAATAAATAAATAAAATAAAATCTTTTTTAAAAAAAAGACAAGAAGTAACACCAGTGTAGCCGTCAAAGGAGATAAAATCTGCCTTAGAATTCAGGGAAAAGGCTACTCTGCTATTTTCGGGACAAACTATGAAAGTTATTCTGTGTAATAGTTACCTGTCCGAAGAGCAGATGGATGTTGATCGTTGACACTTGGGAGGTACCGGGAACCATCTCCGGTCAGGTTGGTGAGCGCTGACCGCGTGTGCCCTGATATGCTTGTCTTTATCCAGCAACCAGGACCTTCAAATTTGTTCTCGTTTGAAAGATGGTGTAGGGCCTGTTCTTTGTCTTCAGATGATTTTCTTGGTGAAGAGAGGAAATAGTTGTTCATCTGTAAACAACAGAACACTATAGATGTCATTGTTTGGCTTCCACTTTGCTCCGCCAAAAATTCAGTGCTGCCTACTGGGATACTGTGGGTGCCTCTCAGATACCCCATGTTGAACCGCTGTCAGAATACTTGGGCCGCTCCTGGCCTCCTTGTGTAGGAGACGTTCTTAAACCGCTTGTATGCATAACAACCAGCTTAGCAATTAGCGATCACAGACCCTGAAGGCTGCAAAGGTGGCCCCGAAGTACAGAGTGCGATGGTGCGTGGTCTGAAAATTCCCTTAAAAGAATGCTGTAAAATTCAAATTTTAAAAAAGTTAGCAGAGGATTTCTTACTAAAGTACCCTGCAGTGATCTCTTCTTTAAAAAAAAAGGAAAAGAAATCAAATTTTACTTTAAAAAATTAGACCCCCTACTTCTGTAGAGTTGCCAGTTACTTGTCCTGCCAGTTTTCTTTCTGCCCTTGCCAGAATTTTTACACTTTCTTAATCCATTAACAATTAGAGTGAGACTTTTCTAATTTAAATGTTCTGTTCTCTCTGACTCAGCAAACTGTAATTAGAGAAAGAGCCTTTGGAGAAACTGGAGGT